CACCACAATGGAAAATGAGCCAGCTCCAGGAGACTGAGGCAGGAGGATAGCTTCAAATTGAAGCCAGACTGGACTATATAGTGAGTTCAAGACCAGTCTGGGCTACAGTGAGTTCCTGTCTAGAACACTAAAAACAAAAACAAACAACCCACCACAAAGGAAAATGCTGACTGTAAGATACTGCAGCATTTTTACTCTGCTGGTTTCTGCATTAGTCACTTAAAGAGGCATCAGTCAGTGAACTGCTACCATCTACTAGGATTTGAGGTTATAAAGATGTGTGTGTGTGTGTGTGTGTGTGTGTGTGTGTGTGTGTACAATGTTGAGAAGTGTTATGATGACGGTACTGACGGGTATGAGGGGCAGGAAGGGTGCTCTCTGATCCTTTACATCATTATTTAGCTTAATTATATATTTCACTTTGAAAGCCTCTGCAAATCTAGGTCAAATGCCATTTTCTCTACAAAGTTGAGAATAAAAGTTGGGATTAATTGTTCTATTCTGTGCATCTCTGTAACACATTATTTATATCTGTTTTAACATTTATCACTGTTCTTAACTATATAGGGCGAGAGGATCTGTAGACACAGCTAGATTACAAGTCATTTAAACAGTGAGGTTTGATTTCCCACAGACCTGAGTGTGGAGCTTTCTTAAAATGCACTCAGCATATGATGAAGTAAAAATTGATGTAGATCAACCAATTCAAAGCCCCCTTTAGAGGCTAGAGTTGGATCCTGTTTCATTTTGCCCAGTTGTGTCCTTGTTTGAAGCAAAATACATTTCTTGTTTTAAAACGCCATAAAAATGGCTTTTAGACTAAAAAGGATTCAACAATTCTTTCTAACATTTCTATATTTGAACAAAGAACAGAAAACAAGACAAATTTCCCAAATTAATCTAATAATTTTTTTATCTGGAAAGGATTATGTTCATTCAACATGCTTTTTATTTTGTTTCCTTTTTGGAAATGGGTCTTACTCTGCTGCTGGATCCAAACTTACTATGTAGCCCAGACTGGCTTAGAGCTTGCAGCAATCCTCCTGCCTCAACTTCCCAAGGACTGGGATTATTACATGTGAGTCACCATGCCCAGCTTTTAACTCAGTATTTGAATCACGAATGAAAGCACTGCTATTTCAGAATCCCACATCCAAGATCAACATATTTCAAAACTCTTAAGTTCAAAAGTCTTCCAACAGACCAGATATCTTACCTTTATTTAAGAAGAAAGAACATCATTTCAAAAACTAAGAAAGTAAAAGGCAGAGCAGTAACAGAGAAAAAGAATCCACTGAAAAGCCACACACAGCCTGGTTTTGTGGCTCACACTTGTAATCCCAGCGCTTAAGAGGCAGAGGCTGAAGGATTTAGACAAATTTGAGGCCAGCCTGAGCTTATATAGTGAGCTCTCTGCACTACAGAGTGAGGCCCTACCTAAGGAAACAAAGCAACCCACCCCCCAAAAAAGAAAGGAAAAGGAAAACAGTACATATTATAGAAAAATATTTGCCCTCTCAGTTCATTTATCCATAGAAAATATATTCTCTGTAACATTAGTGAAAATATTTGTAGGGTAAACTTTAATTTAAAAATCTAACATTTGTAATTTGCAGATCTTTTACCTTTTAGATAGGAAATGATTAGATATAGTCAGGAGCGAGAATTATCCCACAACTCCTTCCAAGGCATTTTCAGTTTATTTGAGTGACCTTGGTGACTAACAGGTGGTGATAACAGTTGCAGAAGTAAAGTAATCCTCCAGGGCTCTGTGGAGAGCACACACCCACACATGTTGTCTCCCATCAGTCCTAGGCACATGCAGCTGGTGCACCCACATCTGACAGTTTACTCCATCCCTGATCTATGAACAACGCTAGATTCCCCCACCTTTCCCCTGACCTTTCCATATCACTGCTGGTGTAGTCCCCTCCTGACCGATTTGGCCCAGCCTTACAGATGACTCAGATCCTATATGAGCACATGTGTACTCAGACACAGAAGCTCAAAGTACTAAACCTGAACTTAAATCTTACTGGACTCCAGGTATAAACAAGGCTATATATATATTTTTTTTAGTAGCTGCAGCCTCGTTTATTGCAGATATGGGGCTCCCAACAAGGCTATTTTTTAATCTATCATTCATATGAACACTTTGCAGACATCTATCTAGATAGCTTTCTCTATATATCTATCTAATCTTCACAGTGATATATATTTTCTCATAAAAAAACTACCTAGTTTAAGCCAGGTGTGGCAGTACAGGCCTGCAATCCTAGCACCTGAGAGGTAGATGCAGAAGGATCAGGAGTCCTAGGCCCAGCCTAGACGATGTGAGATCTTGTCTCAAACAAGCAAGCAGAAAACAAAAACAACACCCAGTTTGAAAAATTCTTTCACTTACTGTGGTCTGTGAAATCTAGTTTCAGCCAGGCATCATGTCTACTTCTCTGCATTTCCCAAGGCTCCTCAAGGGCACAGGGCCAGCGAGTGAGCTTAGTAGTTACATAAAGGTTTAAATACTGGTTTTGCCACTAAGCACCTGTGTAATCTTGAGAAAACTAATTTTCTGAACAATAATTTCCTCCTTTCTTTTTTTTGAGACAGTCTTCAAATTCACTATGTAGCTAAGGATGACCTTGAACTCCTAATCTATCTGCTTATAGTATGTGCCATTTGTGTGTTGCTGGGGATTGAACCCAGGGCTTCATGAATGCTACACATGTACTCCCACTGAGCTACATTCCCAACCCCTAATTTCCTTATTTCTAAAATGAAGATATTAATATGCTATTTATTTCATAAAAAGTGTAAGTCCTTGAGGTGATGGCAGTGGATGTTTCAGGGTGTAGCTCAGTAATGAGCAATTATAGCCAGGCATGGTGACCCATGACTGTAATCCCAGCACTTAGAAAGCTGAAGCAGGAGAATTTCAAGGCTGAGGCCAGCCTGAGCTACATACACAGCAGGACCCTGTCTCAAAGAAAAAGAAAAACAAAGAATGAGAGGAGGGGGAGATGGGAGAGGAGAGAGGGAAAGAGAGAGGGAATATTATGGTGAAAGTGCCAATTATACAGCAGAAGAGGCTAAAGATAGCCCCTCCTTCCTGAGTGCCGTCCACATTTTGTAATCTCTCATCAAGGCTAGTCTGAACCTGACTGTGAAGCCTTATCTTGGGAACATGAAAGTACAGGGTACAGCAAAGATAGCCAGCAGTGGGGAGAGCATGAATAGCTGACACTTAATGTGTGATTTTTTCCTTTATGAGCTGATATGCATATGCATGCCTCTTCTACTTCATGGAGGTGACTGCAGCACCTTCAGAGGAGTCAAGGCCATTCTTTTTTCTCTTTTTGCTTAGCAGGAAGACCTAACTTCATAAAGCAGGATGAACAAATTCCTGAGTGCTTCACAGTGGCTAATAGAGTTTCCAGTTACAAGAGCAGGTCTCAGTCACTGACAATTCTAGTAGCTATGAGGTATACCACAGGTCAAGAACAAACACCCAGATTCTTTCTAGAGTCACAGAGTCAGAATTCACAGCCAAGCACCAACAGAACTACAGTTTGAACTGTCCCAAGTACAAAGAAGGAGGAAGGCCAACCTACCCCCGGACATGCCCTGAATGACAGGGTCATGTAGGGCCTGCCTAAGATGCCATTCTGTTTGCAAACACTAGCTACCTGCCATATCACTCCAGAAATAATTCCATTGGAGAGCCTGAAGGCAAATGACTAATGTTAAAAGTGCCCCATGCATCACTTCAGTGATGACTCCACAGGCATCAATTAAACATGGAAAAGATATGCTCCGAAGCATGGCCATCTGGCATTTCCCAAAGAGATGCAGTCAATGGCCAGTAAAACAGGAAGGATCACAACCATAACAAAATTCAGCAGCCTTTCCCTTGTTCAACAGCAGCAAGGGTCCATGAGGACAGTGAGCCCGGAAGAACTCCAATCAAAGAGATGATCAAGGAAAAACTGCATTTGAAGCCAGCACTATTCTTCCTCGTGCATAGAAAGCAAAGATGGGGCATGAGGTCATCTTTTCAGGTAACAAAAAGCAAGGCTTCTGAGTTTGTCTGATAGTCTAGAGGTGAGCTTCAATTGTTAGGTGCCCAAGCAAGACGAGGGACTGGCAGCAGTCCATCCCTTGCTCCTTCAGTGCTTTCTAAGTATCTCCGTGTGGTAGGACCTTGCTCAGCTCACCAGACCAGGCTCACTGTGGTCTGGGAAATCCTTCCCAAGATAACCATGCTTTACCAACCTTCTCAGTGGAAAGATTAACTAGCTGAATGAGAGTGATATCAAGCTAAAAAGCCCCTGGCAGAGAGAAGATGGCAGGAACAAAGGTGCTTTTCAAGGCTACAGTTCTAGATCAGTCAGGCAGACACCTGTGTATATATAGACAATGCTTCAAACACCATTACTTCATCACACCTAGTGACTGCCTGTGATGACAGCTTGTCTTCATTATTTCTGGCTTTCCCAACAACAAAAATATGTGTCTTCTTACCCAGCCCTGAATTTTAACCTATTTTCTAATATGTAGCCTTCCCCCCCCCACCCCGCTCCCAATATGCAAGGTCAGGTAAAAGAGAAAAGAAATATTTTTCAGTTTTAATTTTGACCCAGAGTTAAGATTCTTAATGACTTTTTATTCGTTATCCTTGAGTGGTCCAGGTAAATGCACCCTTCACACATCCAGGGCCCAACATTAAGGTTAATATTCTTAGAATGAGGCTATCAAGTATAAGCAAGTAAAACCAACAAAAACCAACAGTGCGGTGATTCCATTTTCCCGAGTCCCTTTCGTTGGTGATGCAGTATACTTAAATCTCTGTAAAGAAGCCGTTTCCGTGTTAAGTTTTTGATTTGGAAATAAAAGGACTCATTGACAATTATTTTATCAACAAAAAAGAAAAACAACCAAACCATTAACAAACACTAAAATGACAGAATTAAACACAGTGTGAACAAGCAGTCATAGAGGAATACCTGGGATTGCCAGATTGGAAAGGGGGACGTTGTGGAGGTGAGGGGGAAGCGAGGCCATCCAGTCGGCATTGCAGACCTCCGAGGCCGTCTTTGTCCCGCTGGGATTGGGAGAACAGATGGTCCCCATCCTGAGTTTCCTCCTGGCCTTTCTAAATGCTAGCATCCCTGTTGTCCACGAATCAGCCAGGCTCAGCCCAGTGGCACTCACTCTGTGATCATCACTGCTCGGACTTCCTAGACATTTCAGGGCCTCTGGGGTCACGCCAGTCTTTCCAAGATGCCTTTCTGGCTGGGAGATAGGTCAAATCGGTGCTTCCCTACCCGCAGTGCCGGCAGTCCCACCTTCTCCGCCCAGCCTCAGAGGTCTAGTGCTTTAATCTGTTCAGTCCCCGCTCCCTTAAACTTCTTAGCTCCCTTCCAAAGATGGGGGAGGCAGGCCCATAGATATAAACCTTTAAAATCTCCGCAGCATCCAGGAGCAGCCACACCCGTAGCTACTCACAGGACAGGTGCCCACGGGGCATAGAGACATGCCAGCGGGTCGCACACACGTACGCGCCCAGGCGCACCATCTCTAGTTCATGGATGCTTCGGTGGACGTCCCTTAGCTGGTACACAAGCTGGGCCTGCCTACTGCCCGCTCCCTGGCTTCTCTGCCCCCTGCCCTGTGGTTTCCTGAAAGGCTCTCAGAAGAGTACCCGGCGGCACACGGACTCCTACAGCCCCGCCCCGCACTGCTAGGCAGATTTGCCAAGCTAGTCGGGATGTGATTGGCCGCTGGCGGGCGCGTTCCGATTGGCTGACGCCGTATGGGCGGCCCCAGCATCCAGCTCCCACGCCTCCCTTGCCCCAGGCTCCTCAGGCCGCCCTGTAGGACAGCTATTGGAGAAGCGCAAATTTGCACTCTTTGACCTGTAGTTGTTCAGACAGATCTTTTCACAAAGACGTTCGAACGGGAACACAAATGTTTCTTTCCATCCTCTCGTCACTTCCACCTCCATACACTCACATGCTGTGACAATTGCTATATTTTCCATAAACCACAGAAGCAGCAGAAATAGGAGGGCTAGAGAAGCTGAGAACGATGATATATCTTATATTTGAATGGCAACACCGGGGACAGCTTGTGTTTGAAACTGCATCCTGACGATTTACCCACACACTCCTGCAGTAGGTCTGTGCTGCAATCTCCACTTTACAGAGGAGGGAGTAAAGATGCTTCACGGTTTGTATTGCTGTTCTTTGGAACCTTCTTTGTCCCATCTGCTGCTCTTCACAGTGTTCCCACAAGGCAGGGAGGGTTGCTGGTATGCCGCTCTTTAATCGATGAAACAGGCCTGATGCAGGTCACGTGGTAGCACTGTTTGCAAGTCTCGGTTCGAAATGAGGCCCTCTAGCCAATTCTTAGGCGCACAGACACACATGTCTGCTCTCTGCAGTGTTTCTTACTCCTTCAAATAGAATTTATCCCTAGTAGAGAACTATATGATCTAACATGAGTGCTTTGATTTTTAAAATTACATTTATTTATGTGTGTGTGTATCTGTGTGTCTGTGTGGACACTAACTGGCCACAGCAGGCTTGTCGAGGACAGAGGATGACTTGCAGGGTTCTCTCCTTTCAGCATGTGGTTTCTTGGGAATAAACTCAGGTCATCAAGCTTGGCAGCAAGCACCTTTACCCACTAAGCCCCCTCATCAGCCCTGACATGAGTAACATCTTGATAAACAGGTAAATTTTTAAAAAGTGCCATGGGAGGGGAGCTGGAGAGATTGCTCAGTGGTTAAGAGCACTTGGGCTGCTCTTGAAAAAGAACTGGGTTCGGTTCCCAGCACCCACGTGGTGGCTAACAATCATCTGAAATTCCAGTTCCAGGGAATCTATCGCCCTCTTCTGACCTCCATGGGCATTGCACGACATGGGTGCACTTACTCACATGCAGGCAATACATTCATACACATAAAATAAAAATAACTTTTAAAAAAAGGTGCCAGCTGGGCGTGATGGTGCATGCCTTTAATCCCAGCACTTGGGAGGCAGAGCAGGCGGATCTCTGTGAGTTCAAGGCCAGCCTGGTCTACATAGTGAGTTCTAGGACAGCTGGGGCTTAAAGGAGATGCTTTCTCAAAA